GAGGTGCTCATTTTGGTCGTCTGTTGATGAGAGAAAAAGTTAGTGGTGGTGGACAAAAACGACGCTTAAAGTCAACATACCATCGGTGAAAAGCGATTTTACGTTGTAGGTGCCTCGGGCGAGCATTCCCGAGGGCATCTCCTCGACGGGCGTCGTGTACGACTGGATTTGGGCCTTGGGCGCATAGGAGCCCACCATGTTGTTCGTCTTGACGATCTTGACGCCGTGACGGGAGATTTTCTGCACAAACTTCAGCCCGGTGACAATCTCCCGCTGGACGAAGAAGTCTATTCGCAGGCGGTACTGAATGCCGTCCTTGATCGTCATCACGCTCTTCTTGATCGTGTCCAGGTCTTTGCTCAGGTCAATGGTCACATCGGGACGGCCCTCGACGAGCAGCGAGAGGCTCTTGACGATGACCCGACTGGGGTTGTCCGGCTCGACGATGACCACGCTGGAGATGGCACTGCCCAGCAGCGACTCCTTGTACTTCTTCAGACTCTCGTCGTTGCTGTCGGTGTTGACAATCTCGTTGAGGGTCTTTTCGGCGGGCGGCCTGTAGCCGGGCGTCATCTCCTCGTCATCCTGCACCACCACCGCTGCAGCAGCATGTTCATCGGCCATTCTGGATAGAGGTGTTTTGGCTTCTTCTTCAACTTCTTCTTCAGGCGGCAACAATTAAGCAGGTGTGTGGTGTGTTGGTTGGTTGAGTGAGCAAGGGCTCCAAGTGAAGGAGGCTAGCTACCAGCAAAATGAGTGGGCTTGGATCGGTTGTAGAGACAAACAGAGGTAGAGCAGACAGAGTGAGAGGAAAGGTTGGCAGAGAGTGAAAGCTAATACTGACGGCGGCGAGCGAGTCTCTCTCTCTCAATCTTTGCTCTGTTGAAAACGGCAGCAACAAGCAAAAGAAACAGCGGCGGCGGCCATACGACGCAGAAGCAGAAGTCGGCGGCGGCGGCTACGGCTATGTCTGGCCAATGCTGCCTATGGCAGTGCTGCCTCCTCACTTGCTGGTGCTATCACCGCCGCCGCCACCACCACCACTGCCTGGCCGACGCCTATGATAGTGAGAAAGAGAGAGAGGTCTGAGGATGGCGGAAAGGAGTGAGAGAAAGAGAAGGCCCACGCTAAACGCACTATAGCAGCAGTACTTGGGGATCAAATTCCCGCTGGATCGATCCGCGACAAGACGGACAGGAAGGGTTGAGAGGAGTGTATAGCTGCTGCTGCGCCTGACTTAAAGTGTTCTATTTTCGGTTAGCCATGATGATTCTCCACCATCATCATCATCCGCTCTCGGCACACTGGTTGCCATACCACCACCACCTACAGTGGTGATCACCGCCACGTCTATCACTGCTGCCACTTTCCCCACCCCTCCTCCTCTGGCTTCAGGCTAATGAGAGGGGAGAACTGTACAAACAGCACTAATCACAGCAGGAGGAAAACAACAGAGCAGAGCAGAGCAGGTCGTCGATAGGATTGTCACCTCAATTGGCAGAGGAAATATAATTGCAGATTGGTGGCCGTCACTTTCTCTCTTTCTCCCACTTTAATTCTCGTTCATAGCCATTTTCGGCCATCATAACCACGGCTGCAGTGGCTTAACCAGAAGCTGCAAACTGCACATCACGATCATGATCAGAGCTCGCAGCACATCGTATCCATCATCGGCGGCAAAGCGATGATAAAGCACCGTTGCTGGTGGTTGTCGATGTAAACATTTACATTGGTGGTGGTGGTGGTGGTGGTAGTAGTCGACTCTTTCGCCATGATGTGCTACAAAAGTGAAGACTTTGGTGATTCGGCAAACATTGTCTGGCGATGTTTTGAACGAGCACTTTGCGCTGGCGATCAATTTAGAAATCAGCGCAGGGCCTGCTGCTTCTGCTGAAAGAATTGCCATTGATGCGCGTTAATTGCTCATCCAAATAGCTTGTTGTTGTTATTGTTAGAGGCCGGGAAAGAGGCAGTGCGTCAGAATAATTACCCGGAATCGGTAATCGGGGCAGTGAAAGGGAGGGGAATTGGGTAAATGAAAAACGCCGACATCATCTTCTGTCACATGGCTGCGGCAAAGGAGTTCGGGGTACCTTTTTCGTAATTTTGGTAGCACGTCTTCTGCGGACGAGCCCACAAGCATTTTTTCTGATTTTCTTTCTCTCGTTCTCTCTCTCTCACTGACTCGCACTGCCAGCCACGTTCGCCGGTGCTTTCCGCTCTCTCGCTTTGCTTTTCCCAGCGCTTGCCTTTTCAGCTCTGTCCTCCTGTCTTCTTCAATGCTCAGCTCTTGCACCCAGAATCAATCAGCCATCAGCACACCTGACCACGAGAATACTTCTACTCAAAGAACGTAAAAACACTGAATAAGGTAAGTGAAAGTGTGCAAAGGACGTGGGGGATGAAAAGATGCGGCAGGCGGCAACTCAATGAAAACTCACTCGCTCGCCACGTGTCTCCCCATCTCGCGTGCATTGTTCTGCACAACGAGAATTCACCCGATGGAATGTTCTAACATTTGCTAATTCTGTGCTAACTCTCTTGCCAGCTCTTCCAACATGGCTGAAGGCGATCTTCTAGTGGAGGAGAGTCCCAATCTCAAGTTCAACGGCATCTCCGCGCCCGAGCAGAATGAGGAGGTCGAGGAACAGGAGCCCGACTTTGATGATCCCGATGGCTTTGTCGACGATATCGACGACAATGGTTTGTGCTGCCAGACTGCTAGTGGATGATCAATCTGACTTTTGCTTTGCATTTCATAACAGAACTTCTCGGTGACATTTTGAAAAACAAGCCCAAGGAGGATCTTGGCCTGAAGAGTGTCATCATCGTTGACGGCATTCCTCAAGTGGCAAGTGAGCGATTCGAGAAGCTTCGCACCGTCCTCGTCAAGCTCTTCTCCAAGTGTGGAACCATCCTCAAGGACTACTTTCCGCTTGACGAGACTAGCACCACCAAGGGGTAGGTTTCTTCTATAAACTGTCATTTTTGTTATTGACAAACATCATCTTCCCCTTTTTCTCTACCGCAGGTACTGCTTCTTCGAGTACGAGAACAGCGAACAGGCTCAGGAGGCTCTAAAAACCTTCAACGGCCACAAGCTGGACAAGCACCACGTCTTTTTGGTGAACATGTTCACCGACATTGACAAGTACCTCAATATTCCGGACGAGTTTGAGGAGCCCACGAAGGGCGAGTACGTGGAGCGGGGCAACCTGCGCGAGTGGCTCCTCGACCCCGACTGCTACGACCAGTACTCGGTGGTGTACGAGGGCGGCGAGTCGACGGCGATCTACGCGAACGCCACGCCGGAGCCGCTGCAGGTGAAGAAGCGGAACAACTGGACGGAGCAGTCGATCCACTGGTCGCCGCTGGGCACCTACATGGCCACCTTCCACAAGCAGGGCATCGCCCTCTGGGGCGGCCCCAACTTTATACAGCTCTTCAAGTTTGCCCACGAAGGCGTCACCTTCATCGACTTTTCGCCCTGCGAGCAGTACCTCATCACCTTCTCCCACTCGCTGATGCTGACCAACCAGGAGAACGCCATCATCATCTGGGACATTCGCATGCAGTCGATCAAGCGCGCCTTCTACGCCGAGTCGACGCCCAACATCAGCTGGCCGATCTTCAAGTGGTCCCACGATGACAAGTACTTTGCCCGGGTGCAGGGCAACGACTCGCTGGCCATCTACGAGTCGGAGAGCTTCTCGCTGCTGGAGAAGAAGTCGCTGAAGATTGCCGGCATTCAGAACTTCAGCTGGAGTCCCTCGCAGAACATTCTCGCGTACTGGGTGGCGGAGGACCAGAACGTGCCGGCGCGCGTCGTGCTGATTGACGTGCCCGGGAAGCAGGAGCTCCGCTCGAAGAATCTCTTCTCAGTGGCTGACTGCAAGATGCACTGGCAGAAGAACGGCGACTACCTCTGCGTCAAAGTCGACCGGTACACGAAGGCGAAGAAGAACGTGGAGCGCAATGACGCCTCCAAGTACATCGGCCTCTACTACAACTTTGAGCTCTTTCACCTGCGCGAGAAGCAGATTCCCGTGGACAGCATCGAGATCAAGGAGCCGGTGGTGGCCTTCAGCTGGGAGCCGGTCGGCTCCAAGTTTGCCATCATCCACGGCGACGCGCCGATGCACACCATTTCATTTTACGGAATCAAGCAGGGCACCACCGTGGCGCTTCTCAGTAAGTTTTTTGTTGGTTTACTCTACTGCTGAGACGAGCCTTGCTAATCTGTTTTTGTTTGTTTTTGCTTGCTTCCTTGCAGAGAAATTTGAACAAAAGAGCGCCAACACGCTCTTCTGGTCGCCCACCGGACAGTACATTGTGGCGGCGGCGCTGCGCAGCTCCACCTACACGCTTGAATTTATCGACACCTTTGACTTTTCGGTGCTGAACACGCAGGAGCACTTTAAGCTGACGGACGTCGAGTGGGACCCCACCGGGCGGTACGTGGCCACCGTAGTCAGCTACTGGACGAATAAGGTGAGTGCTGGGGTTGTTGGGTGTGTTTGAAAAGTAGGCTAATCGAATTTCGGGGTTGTAGAGCGACAACGCCTTCTGGATCTGGTCCTTCCAGGGACGGCTGATTCGCAAGCAGCCCCTGGAGCGGCTGTGTCAGTTTCTCTGGCGCCCGCGGCCACCCTCGCTGCTCAGCGAGGAGAAGATCAAGGAGATTCGCAAGAACCTGAAGAAGTACGCCGACGAGTTCGACACGAAGGACCGCCTGGCGCACTCGAAGCTCTCCAAGGAGATGATCGCCAAGCGGCAGGAGCAGGTGCGCGAGTACCGCGAGGTACTTGACCGCAACCGAAAGGAGTACGAGGCGAATGCCGCCAAGCGACTCGCCCTGCGCGGCCTCACCGAGGCCACCGAGCCCGAGTACGACGTCGAGGAGTTTGAGTTCTTTGTCCGCGAGGAGACGCTGCCCGTCGACTCCTGAAGAGAGAAGGAGTGTGCTGATGATGATGATGATATTCCCTCNTGAGTTCTTTGTCCGCGAGGAGACGCTGCCCGTCGACTCCTGAGGAGAGAAGGAGTGTGCTGATGATGATGATGATATTCCCTCCCCTCCTCCTTTCCTCAGCTCTACTTTTTGGATCACGCCGGCACTTCTACAACTGATTTATTATTCTTCTTATTACATTAGCTAATGAGTTTTGCTGAAGTCTTTTTTACCAACCCACACACACAGTTTTAGCACTCTTGAGAGAGGCCAGCCTATTGTGCGATACTCCTCTTGAGAGACNTCCGCGAGGAGACGCTGCCCGTCGACTCCTGAGGAGAGAAGGAGTGTGCTGATGATGATGATGATATTCCCTCCCCTCCTCCTTTCCTCAGCTCTACTTTTTGGATCACGCCGGCACTTCTACAACTGATTTATTATTCTTCTTATTACATTAGCTAATGAGTTTTGCTGAAGTCTTTTTTACCAACCCACACACACAGTTTTAGCACTCTTGAGAGAGAGCCAGCCCATTGTGCGATACTCCTCTTGAGAGACTATTTAATTCTTTTCAATTGCGTGCTTTGTGGAGAGTTTTCAACCACCTGTGTCAATCAATCAATCAACTTGCCCCTCTTCCCTTTTCTGTTTCAATTCTTATTCTTTTTTCAGTTTTTCTTCTTTTTTCCTCTCCTCTCCCCTCTACTCTTGTTGATTTGATTTTATCACTCACTCACTCACTACTTTTACCACCACTGAGTGAGGACGGTGGAGCATGCAGCCAATGATGATGATGATGATGTGTTTGCTAGAAGGCAAATATACTTTTCTGAAATATACTTTAATAATTGAGAATAATAAAATACCAATATACACTGATGTGGACAAAAGTGAAGTAATCGGTGATGATGATGATCACTGCTGGAAATCTCTAAGCAGGAGCACCTGCTCAATGGATATCACCTGATCCCTATTGTGCTTTGAGGCATCCAGGACGATTCGATTTTGGGGAACTCCCGCGTGGAGGCGATCGGGCAGGAGTGATGCTCGGAAGCAGTCCGCCGCCTCCAGGTACCGTCCAATGGAGTACCGGGTAAGGAGGAGGCCGCACACTGAACAGGAGAACTCCTCCAGGTGGATTGCCTGCAGTTGGGGCAGTCGCCCCTGCAGACCCAGCCACTGCACCTGCTCATGGGCGGTGATGGCCAGGCACAGATCAAGCGCCCGCACAGAGGTGGAGCACGGTTGCTGTTGCGGCAGGGCCGGCAGCTGATCGTTCCCCTCCTCGTATTCCCAGAAGCTTACGCCGAACTTGAGATGAAGCAGCCTGGGAAGCTGGGCGAGTGCGGCGAAGAGCGCCGCCACCTGATCGGGCACCACCTTGTCCACCTCCAGCGAGGTGAGACCGGTGAAGTGAGCGCACAGCTGCGGAACTCGGTCTCTGGTGAAGTCCAGCAGTGGGCTGCTGCACTGGTAGCGTACCAGCTGACGACTGAGGCCGACTGCTGCAGAGAGCTTCTGCTCACTGGAGTTCAGATGGTCCAGCAGGCTGGCCGTGTCCGGAGAGCCGGCGAGCAGGTGCACCTGAAGGGCGGCATTGTCTGGTGCGTACTGCTGCAGGCAGCGCAGAAAGGGCTTCATGCTGCCCAAGACGTTGATGATGGCCACTGCCTTCAGCTGGCCGAGGATGGGCAGTTCGGGCACCTGACGCTCAGTCATCTTGAAGCTCGGGCTCGGGCTCGACGAGGGGCTCATCATGTTCCAGTTGAGGGACAGATAGCGCAGGGCAGTGAGGCGGTTGATGGCGGTGCATAGGCGGCCAGCCAGTCGATCATTGAAGGAGATCATAATGTCCACTACCGCCAAAGTGCTCAGCTGGCTTCTCCACACTGGCTGCTGCAGCAGCTGAGAGTAGTCGGTGTAGTGGAGGTACTGGGTGATCAGCGAAAGACGGGTCACTCCAGCGAAAATGTGCACAATCTGCCTGACGGTGGAGGCGGTTAGCTTGGAGCAGGTGGAGTTCATTATGGAGTGCAGCTGCAGGCAGTTCCACTTGTTGAAGGGAATCACCGGGAAGTTGAGGAGCGGGTCGTTGCGGTACTCCTCCGTCAGCAGCTGCATGCTAGGCTTTGATGAAAGTGAGTAGAACTTTTGGGTGCTGTTCAGCTCACCGACATTGTCGGAATCGGTGATGGTCAGCGTGTGAAGGCGATGATTGGCGGCGCGCACTAGGCGGCTGCATCGAGGGCTCATTTGGCTCGAATTCAGTTGATCATTTGGGGTGAACTGCTTGAAGACGGCAATCAAACAGAGGTCGGTGATGGGACGAAGAGGTGCCATGGTCTGTTTCAAAGTTAAAGATTCAAAAAACTAAACTCAAAGTTTTTCTCTTCAGGCAAGGAAAAAGTACTTGTGCATCAGTAGCCAGTGACGTTTAAATAGGTGGTCAGTGCTGTGGCACTGGATAAGTCCTGTCCACTGTCCACAGACAATTCAGTTAGGTCTCCAAGGATTTTGCCAGTTCTGCTGGCTTATAATCAGAGGATTGCTTCAACAACTGATTTTTACTTTTAGTTGCTTGCTTTTTCTTATCTAAAAAACGTTGCTGAAAAGCTGCTAGTCGAAAAGTTTTTTCANAGGCGGTTAGCTTGGAGCAGGTGGGGTTCACTATGGAGTGCAGCTGCAGGCAGTTCCACCTGCTGAAGGGAATCACCGGGAAGTTGAGGAGCGGGTCGTTGCGGTACTCCTCCGTCAGCAGCTGCATGCAAGGTTTTGATGAAAGTGAGTAGGACTTTTGTCTGATGTTCAGCTCACCGACATTGTCGGAGTCAGTGATGGTCAGCGTGTGAAGACGACGACTGGCGGCGCGCACTAGGCCGCTGCATCGAGGGCTCATTTGGCTCGCCTTCAGTTGGTCATTTGGGGAGAACTGCTTGAAGACGGCAATCAAACAGAGGTCGGTTATGGGACGAAGAGGTGCCATGGTCTGTTTCAAAGTTGAAGATTCAAAAAACTAAACTCAAAGTTTTTCTCTTCAGGCAAGGAAAAAAGTACTTGTGCATCAGTAGCCAGTGACGTTTAAAAAGGTGGTCAGTGCTGTCGCACTGGATAAGTCCTGTCCACTGTCCACAGACAACTCATTTAGGTCTCCAAGGATTTTGCCAGTCCTGCTGGCTTATAATCAGAGGATCGCTTCAACAGCTGATTTTTACTTTTAGTTGCTTGCTTTTTCTTATCTAAAAAACGTTGCTGAAAAGCTGCTAGTCGAAAAGTGTTTTCCAACTATTGTATGACATTTAAAAAATAATTAAAGAAAGAAATATTGTTTTTAAATTGCGAAACCACCAGTATAATTTATTAAAGAAAAACCCATTAATTGATTTGTGTAGCAACTGCAAATAGTTATTAATGACTTTTAGTTATTTTCGTTTTTAATTTTTCAAATACACGGAAATAAAAAAGTGCAAATTCAATCTTGAAATTATTTAAAATTGTTTCATACAAACTTTATTTAAACATGGCGTATTTGATCTCTGCCTTTACTCGATGTTTTTATCATTTTAGTCATGAAGTACTAACAAACTCCAAATCTTTCAAAATTGGTTTTTATCTTGATATCGTTTTAACTTGCTACAGCTTTCTACGACTGCCTTACATTCCTCTAATTGTGTGGTGGAACGGAAAAAGTGACCCTGCAGTGGCCTACTTTTGTTCAGTTGATCCAGTCATGCACATTCTCGTAAGCATGGACTCCATTACAATGCTAAACTTTTACCTGCTGTTTCAACTGTTTCAACTTTACTACAAAGTTCTTCTGTCTCGCATTGATTTGAAAACGCCTGTTTGGCAATTTTGGCGACAGCTGATTGTCTCATTTCAGGACCACTACTACAATTGTTTGTTGGCAGAGGGTGAACTGCGAAAAGTTCACCAAACAGTTGAAAAAGAGATTTTAAAGTTAATCAGTCAAAAGCATCCTAAGATGATCGCCTTATTCGCATGCAGTTTAGTGCAAAAGAATACTGTCAAATTCATCTCACAGTTTCTAGTTTGGGTGCGACTACAAAATGTCGATCAACGACAATTTTTCAGTTACAAAGGCTTACTGGAAAATGCTTCGAACTCGGTCAAGAGAAGGGCTATTTTGATGATGACTGCCGCCGATCGGTACATCACTGCAATGCTAGTCACTATTGGTAAAATGCTATTTCTGAAGTTTTTGCAAACATGTTTTAAATCCATTTTTATTTCCAGTGCTCACTGACGGCCTTTTCATTATCGCCTTTCGAAAGTTGATATTCGGCGGCTTTCCCTGGTACTGCCGACTGTGGATCATCGCCGACACTGCAATCGCCTTTTACACCGCCTTTCGACTTTTTCAGGTGGGCTTCTACCTCATCGGCTGCAATATTCTCACTGCCATCGTCATTGCCGGGCGCGTGAGCGACCCTCTGAAGGGAGGCTGCCTCACAGTGCAGCACTTTCTATCAGAGCACAACCGCTCCTGTGCTCTGGTGCTGACTGGAAACCGGTCCCTTTGGGGGCAGATGCTGACCGCCGTCCTGCTCACCAATCTGCCTCTGAACGCTCTCGTGCAGAGTCGGCTGGTGCTCTCCCGCTCTTCCGCCCATGTAGAGCGCCTCCTGAACGCTCTCATTCTGGCCATTCACTTGGCTGGCTTCTACCAGTGTCTGCTGCCACTGCTGGTCACCACAAAGAAGCTGCACGCACCGCAGAAGACAGTGGCCACAGTGCAGTACCACTTAGCGGGCAGAAGGTGGACACTGCTAAAGCTAAAGCTGGACGATCTTAGAGGACGGCTCGGCTGTGGGCCAAAGATGGCCTTCACCATTGCCCCGGGAAAGCAGGTCACTGATGAGGTGATCGTTGAGGTCGTACAGATCATTGTGAATGCTTTCGTGTTTACTAACACGTTTTTCACCTGTCATTGCAGCTGATTGGCCTATACATAGGTTACCTTCTGATGTTCTACAATT